TATATTTTATAAATAAGAAGCTGGTTTCTCACAACTTCACACACGTAAATTAAAGCTTGTCACCAGCGTATGATGTAGCTTTTAATTTAAATGCAAACAAACAAAAATTGAAATCTTTTCTTTTCACAATATTTGTATTGGAATCTGGTCAAGCGCTACCACAGAACATAGAGAGAGAATAGAAGTAGTAAGTGGGCGGGGCACGCGTCGCTGGCATATGCGCTTTTACTCATATGACGCCCTTTCCTCGGTTTTATGTTTGCCAGTCGTTCGTCAATCGTCGAGTGGTGATTTTACAGATTTTTTTTATAAAAAATGCCGTTTTGTGCTATTATCACTTGCAAAAAGCAAAGCAAAGTATACAATCTAACTAATGCAAACATTTCCTTTCACTGGTAAGTACAATTTTAGTGCTAGAATATAAAAAACGTAATAATTTGACACAATGTTAAATAAAATATACATTGATTGCTCAAACCAACATCAATGTTTCTGACCCCATTACTAAACAGCAATGTAAATCATTTTGTGCACTTTTGCAAAAAATAGTGCTGTGCCTCCATTTGTCTGAAATGTACCGATAGGCTGCTGCTGCTCGGAATCGTATTGTTAATTATATGGATCGTAATCGATAACTAAAACATATTTATTTAGAGCTTTTCTTTCATCATTTCATAACAACGTTATCGATAAATATATGCCATAATTATATAAAACTAAAAAATACTGTTTACAAGGGAAAATTATAGATGAACGATACTGAACAAATGAAATAATGAACTGTCCAGGCACTTTTAATACGAAGATTCGGTTAATTATTTACACGCAGATAAATATTAAACATTACTGATGTGCTATAAATATCTAAGTTACGAAGTATATCACCGTTTTATGAACAATACATAAATTAAACGAAACTTCGTGAAAAGCTAAGAGTTGGCCTAATAGGTCTTGTTAGAAACTGGTGAAACTGGATTTCACTTATTTTGCATTACTTATATTTCAGTTTCCCTAATAACTTTACAACGGATTGCCTTGTTTACATAATTAATTTTGCCCTATCTGTTTTAGACCTAAACCTATCAAATGAATTTCAAAACAACATAATATCTATACAAACAAAAAATTATGTTTTCAACTAACGTAATATTGTTGGTGGTGTGAATTTAATTTACAAAATTAATTTTTAGGCGTCAATTTAATTTACCTTATTATGCTGATTCATAATCGGAAACTATTATTATAGAAATCGAGTTAAGAAAGTCACTTTAAAGAACCGCCCACAGAACAGCTTTTATCAGTTTTTTTGTTGCTCCATATTTGCACATAAGTTTATAGACGCATGTCTCAAACGGATGTGACTTTATATGTAGATTGACGTTTGTACGTACTTATCGCTTTTGTGTCTATCTTCAAACTTTTTTTGTCACGGCTTTCAAACTCATACTTGACCAGCGATTCCTTATTGTCCAGTCGTTGCAATTAATAATGTAGCTACTACTATTATTACAGATATAAAACTTAGAATAATAAAGTAAAACAAACATGGCTATGATCAATTTATTAGTGTAATGATCATATTAGTTATTATGAAATGAAATGAAAATATCTTTATTCAAGAAGGCTATTACAAGCACTTGGAATGGCAAGTTTATTTTTATTTCTACTTTTTTTTGTGAAGGAATCGTAATGTTTTCTTGCGTACATAATATTTTCATTGATGTATTGAGAGGCAACAGTCAAAATATTTATTTCTTTAAATATTTCTCTGAGAGATTCTCTAGACCGTAAATTATATATAGCGTGGACAGCTCTCTTTTGTAGAATAAAAATATCTTGAATGCTAGCCGCAGAACCCCATAACAATAGATTATACGTCATTCATTACACTATGAAAATAACTAAAATATACCAATCTTGCCGTTTCAACATTTGTTAAGAGTCTAATTTTCTTAACAGCAAATGCTGCAGAACTCAGTCTACTTGACAAATTATCAATATACCAAAATACCAAGGAACTTTGTCGATTCCACCATCTCAACTTTTTCACTATTTACATTTATAAGTATATTAACATGCCTCACATTAGGTAATGCAAACTTTATGTATTTCGTTTTATTTGAATAAAGCTTTAAATAATTACTATCAAACCACTGTAGAAAATTGTCGAACTGAATTACATTGAACTGTTTCATAACAAAATTTAAAGCTCTTATTTTATCAACTAATATGTCACATCACTAATATGCACAATCGGAATGATACCAGTAAGAAAAAAATACAAATTAGGCTTAATGTAATTAATACAAAAATTCTGTTGTTTTCTTAATTTTTGTTTTTTTTACACTTTCCCTCGCTTAATTATATTACTCCACAGACATACGATAGAGTGTATCATTAAGTTTTCTTAGTTTTTGTACTGCGTTTTTTAAAAGATATTTTAATAAATTATGTAGGGAAAAGCCTTAATTTTTCAGTATTCACTTGGTTACAGCAAAATCTAATATTAATAGTTCGCACATAAAATGATGACCCCAATTTTTTTAAATGTGCATAATCTTAAAATATTTTTTTCCTTCTGGTATCCCCATATACAGCCACGTGACAGTTCAACATTCATGTTAAAGTAAATTATTTATTATCACGTTGAATTAGAGTTTGTTTTTAATCGTGTGATTTCTTAGCTTAGTATCTTTTTGGGATTTGATTTATGTTATCGCGAACCTATCGCGTGGCGGTTTTTCATGTAGTGAACAAAATGATCATTTCATCTAATCTGTATTTGTGTGCGGAGAGGCGACACTCGGTTCCCATACTAAATTAATATCATTATACTTCTAATCTCTCTCTATGTTCTGTGAGCGCTACGCTAGTCAAGACTCGCGTAGGAAGGCTTCCAAGTAAGTTTTAGGGATATTTTAAAACCATAGATTTTATTATAGGTTTTCAGGTCATCTTTATGTAGGTGAAGTAACGAACTATCCACCGTATTTGTTTTCCAAAATTACGTAGGTTCGATAATTTTTCTTTCATTTTCTTCAATAATTCCAATATTATTGCATCTTAAAAATTATAATGAATAAAGGTTATAAAATATAGTTGTGATTATCATCACACCAACGTTCATTAAGGTTTTATGACGACTTTAAGCTCTCATGAATTTCATAAATATGAAAATTTGTTGTATTGGCAATGTAGCTTTAAACTAATGACAATTTTAATGGACGTTTGTGCAACGGGAAGCAACTCTTTCATGTTTAATATACGAGGTGATAATTGTAAAACCAAAAGAAGTTCCAAATTGTTAAGGCGCATAAAAAACAATAATTGCACTTTAAACTGATATTTGTCAATCCCCAGCAAAACCGTGCAATAGTTAATGCCTTACCAATAAAAACGACACAGTAATTAGTTAATACAACCGAGATCAAGTTGAGAGGCAATAATGACTACGTCAGACGCCGATTGTGCACTTGATTATGTCGAAAACTTGAGAGCACTCGAGTGACTTAATTTATTTCGAGTTGACAATCGTAGAAAGAAAGGCAAACAGATGATTAGGATCTATACAAGTTAAAAATCCACTTCTGGCAATGTTGACAATGAAGTGGAATAACAACTAAACTGAGTGGCGAGCTTAACGTTTTAGACGTTACGAATTTTATGAAGATTTGTAGTTCTTGATAGTTATCACTAAGTGCACTGTGCCGGTAGCCATATTGAAATTTTAATGTAGTCACTATCAAAAAACTCACAATAAGCTCTCAGCTTCATCTACTTTTAAATAAAGTTTATAGTGAGCGCACGAGCGAGCGAAGAGTGGTCATAGACTATGAGTCTCGTAAGAAAGCTAAAGGCCACCCAGCGGGTAATGAAGAGAGCAATATTTAATGTTTGTGAGTTAGAGCTGCAAGAACTAAAATACCACATTGTGAAAACAACCAATGGAAGTTCTAGCATGGCAAACGTGCACTAGCCGAAGACGCTCAGTAGACCCAAACAGGTAAACCAACGATCTTATAATGGACATGGATAAATACTGGTAACGCGTAGCATAAGACGGTTAATCTTGGACAAATGCTTAACTAGATGCCGTTTTGACACGCCATGCGAATTCTTTTCTTTTGTTTATATTTTTTTGTCTTTGTGTCCTATTAGTACGAGATCTCACTACTTGACTCTGCAGTTATCTGTTTTTTTGATGAAAATGATTTTTTATGATATATCTAAGATTGTAGACTAGTTTGCAACAGGGTTGTCTGGCAAAATTAAACCGAAATCATTTTTAATTTTTTTTTTTGTAACTACTTTTAGTTGATATATTGCAGTCATGTTTTTTTACCCCTCATCATTTGAAAGAGAATGATGTCAGGAAACGAAATAACCATGGTTGCCACTCTCAGTTAGCAGCGAGCCATTGGATGCCATGCGTAAACAGGTAATATCTTATTTTTATTTATTTACACTTCCGTGTTTTTCAAATGAATAATATATCAAGATAAAGTTTATTATTTTATCTAAAATAGTAAAATAAGTGCCGCAACCAGAGGTTGCCATTACTTGAATTATTTTTTTCCACACCGGAGACCATGAGCTATGTGCAAGGGAGATGAAGGGCGCACACTGGTATGTGTTTTATAGAAAATTTACAATTTTTATTGATTGTTTTATCAATTTTAATATTTTGTGCTTTAGAAACATTGATCAATTAATTTTCACAGGATATCTTAACTACTGCAAATCGTAGTGTTTCTCATTTTAAATTATTCTGTGTTTGAATCATAAATGATATCAACGTTATAACAACATTCGCATTGTCTCTGGTGTTGAAAAAAAAAAATTTGAGTGCAGAACTTATTTTACAGGCAACCGTGTTTTTAGGTCACCGTAAAAAAACCAGATAACTACACATTTTAGCAGAGGGATCTTAAACTATATATGTGTTAAATAAATGAATTTGCATTAATAGGCTTTTTATGTGGAATGTTAATTGTACTTACCTCAAATTGAGCACTGAACGTCTTAAAGACTCCCTCCCACAAGCTGCCGGATTGCGTGAGCACCTGGACGTTGTCACCGACGTGCGCGGTCACGGCATGCATGAAGTGTGCATTGCTGTACACGCCTTCAGGTAGCATGCGTCCCCGTGGCGACCTGCAACATAAACTTTACTTTATTACCGGGCATTAAGACCTAGGCTGGGGATAAACACAGCTGCCTGTAAACGGAAACGTCCCTCGGTTAGAAAGGGAGAGCAGGTCCCGGTATCATATTTCTTTCTCTGTGTGATATGATCACTTTCCATGCTAACTCAATGTAAATGTATGTGCTGTGAATACACGAGAAAAGAGATAGACAAGGTGCCGTGACCTTCTGTCTTTTTTATCGAGTGAGAGCTCCAGCTCTCACTCGGCCTCCAGGCCTGACAAGAATAATATTAGCAGAACACAACTGGTCAGTCAATAAGACATATAGATATTTTTAACTATAAAAACAAAAATACATACATAAATAAATTTTACACGACATCACAATACATTGCAGACACCAAATTAAGTAAATTTTAGTACTTGTATTAGGCAAATCAAAAGCAATGAAGATAACACAACATCCATACCTGAGACAATACAGAAAAGTTCATTTTTTACATTGACCCATCCGAGTATCGTATCTGGGACATCAAATATGGCGTCACTTAGAGACAGGCATGCGAGTTACTTAGCCACGGAGGTTGTCGTATATAATTAGAAACAAAGTTATGAAAATATTTATTGAATTAATGATTTATTAACAAATATACCAATGACAGATGATTGAACATGAACTTTGTACTCAAACTAATCCGCCTCAATAGAGGTCGTAAAATGAATCAATATTAGCTGTTCTACAACACCTATATAACATTTGATAGATTTTTTTTTAATGACATACTCAATAAAGAGACTGTTCAGGCAACTAATTGATAAAACGATACTTGCAAGGGAAAACCATGTAACTCAGTTAAAGACAAGTTTTAATTACAATAATAAATGCGTATTTCTGAATCAAGTTGATGATAATTTTCAAATGTCGATAGAGGGCGTTTGTTTTGTTCAATTTTATATTTTAAAATATCATAAGAATAATCTATATGTTTAATAATATAAATAATAATTATCAATATATTAAACCATGAATTTGATATATTTTAACACATAATATAAAAAAAGCTTCAAATCAAAATTATGACTGACTTTGAAATCATAATTTTTATTATAGTATATTGGCTATTTACAAAGACACTTAACGTTCGCAAGTTTGGAGGCTTGTTTGATAAGAAATTTGATATAACATTAAAATCAAAAACTATAAAAGCAAATATCTCTTTAATTTTTATTTGAAAATTACTGTGATTTGGGTGTGCAGAGGGTTGTAAAATAATTTTCAGCCATTAGAATTTTACTGTAAACCAAGAATTATGTGACAGATGACAGAGCTCCCAATTATTTCTACATTAGACACCAAGAGCTTTGCGAAAGGTCAATTTACCCCTTAGAGAAAAACCCCTAAGCGTTACCCCCACCAAGTATTTCGCATCCAGCGAATAGTGGTCCTCACACTTATGGAAAACAGCTGAATACAGTTTCTACACCAATTTTATTGTGTTATGGTACCTACCTATATATTTTCGTTAGATGGTAGGTACATAACTATATCTAATTTTCGATGTGCTCTACTATAAACTTACTGAAAATGACTTATAATGTTTTCTTTCGCATGTGCCCGTAATTGATTATCATCAAGAAATTTTATAAATAAGTAATTTTTGTTATCAAGATAATGGGCCGAACAATTTAATGAAATCTATTAATATAACGTAAATTGCATTATTTCATAATAGATTGAGTACAGACATTATTATAAATTGGTTTTATGTATGGACCAAATATGTCTGAGAAATAATCCTTTTCTCATTGTGGTATCAACGGCGGATATCCAAAACTGTAGAATTTCTCTTTTGTTTTTTAAGTGAACAAGTTTCATTTAAAAACTATCACAGAACTTAATACACTTTCATGCTGTTGTGAATATTTTTGATGTTTTTAATTTGATATTATGATTATTGTATTATACCTTCTAATGAACATTTACATCGTAGACATCCAATTAATAATACTATCATGATAAACATAAGGAAACAAAACAATAAAAATGCATGTACTAATTTTTAAAAGAGTGTTATATTTATATAACAGAACTATTTACATATATACTAAGTATTAGATTGACACAATTGAAAGTTAATATTTGGTAAATATGCTTGGCACATACAAATAATTATCTTCACTATAGAACAAAGTTTCAATGTAAAATTTGTTATTGTAGAAGTTCGTGTCAGTTATTTTCTTTTAATCAGTTTTAGTTAAAGTGAATTGCACTAGCAAACTAGTCTAACATTATTACAGCCAATGATACTAAACATGTTATTAATTGGTTTTGATTTCTGATGTCAAAAGTTTTAATGACAAGAATCATTAAGAAATCAATTTTTAGCATCTCGAGTATTAAGTTAGAAATAACAGGATATGCAGTTTCTAAAACATTGGACAAATTGCTATATCTAAAAACACATATGTTACTAAAGATGCTTGAATTATTTTAAACATTTTTCTTTTGTACCCAGAATTAGGATTTTCCATACTTAGAATACTTTTTATATTAGTTGGTCTGGAAACTTTTAAAGGATGGTTATATTAATATATAAAATTTAACTATTCTGTATTGTTTCTGGTATGGGTGTTATGGCATGTGCATTGTTTCAGATTATCAAAAATACTTGGATTTAGCTACTTAACTTGGGGTCTGAGCAATGTATGTGATGTTTGATATTTATTTATTTAAATAGGTAAATTATCAGTGTTTAATTGTTGCAATTTAAAAATTGATATTACTTAATGCCATTATTTAAAAATGAGTTTTAATATTTATTTTGCTTAAAAGAGCTACCTGTCAAGAATTTCAGATGTAACACGAATTAAAGAACAAGAAAAACATGAAAAGCATCACATTTGTGAAATATGAGCCACCAAAGTTGATTGATTGATTGATTAAAAAATAATAAGATAGCACTTAGAATTCAGAATTAATTAGGATGTTCAATATTTTTCTGTTCATCATCATCATCAGCAGCCCTTCTAAGTCCCCACTGTAGGGCCTCTGGCCTTCCTTATGGATGGCTAAGGCTGGCCCAATGTGTTGGAGGTTATTAACGACTACAAATGCAGCCGGGACCAATGGCTTAACGTGGCTTCCGAAGCACGGATTAGTTCACGTTAATAATTTTTTGGTCACCCATCTCGTGACCGACCCTTGCTAAAGTTACTTAACAACAACGATCGCGTGCCGCGGCACTTTTCCACTACGCCACCGAGTTACTCTGTTGATAGTCATTCATAAATGCAAGATTTTAAAAAAAATAAAATGATCCCTGAACACTGCTAGGATTTATAACTACAATGAATATTGTAACCCCATTATTTATCTGTTTTATTGGTTCTCTCTGCTTACCCCAAAAGGAAATCTGTAGATAGAGATTCGACAAATTCCACAGTTATCAAACAATATTAAGAAGTATAAGATAAGAGATAAGAAAAATAACATTTTATATTATAATAGTGTAACCCTTTGGATTACACCAGGATCCAGACAGTAACAAGGAATCCATATGGTGTCAATGAGACAAGAAGGCTTATTTTATTTTTCCAAAATTAAAAAAACAACTTTCGAAATGTTGATAAATCATCAAAGAAATGCATTTTTAGATGAATAATTTATGACGCAATGGAGGTAGGACCTGACACTGCCTCTTATTCACATATAATAATTTTCACATATATGATTTTAACAGAATTGTAAGAATGATTTAAAGTTTTTACAATAAGTTATTATAGATCGCCATGTTAATTCATAATTCATACGAGTTAGGACTTAGGAACACCTTATTTATCACCATTTTTTATACCATGTAAATGAATTAAATTCTGAAAAAATAAAAGTTATTCTGCTCTGAAGAACAATTTTGGTTTTGCCGGTTAGTACATGTTTGCTTTCTAGTGTCGATAAATACAATAAAAATCTAAAAATGAATCTATCTAAACAAAAAATTAGACTGACCCAATATTCATAGTTTCTGTCAATGGATGTAACGGAGATGGATACTTTAATCAGACATGATGACTGCTAAGATGTCACAACATCACCTCAACTGCCCAGAGCTTATATGAAGTCAGAGATGTCGAGTTATTGGCGAAATGGTCACATTCAAATATTGAAGTATTTCATTAAGAATAAATAACAAATACAATCTTTACAACATAAGAAAACAAGGAGTAAATACTAGGTGTCATCCTCATGCTAATATAAATGATGTGGAATCTAATGAGGAAAGGTAGATATTGCTTAGGATAGATGTAAATCTTTCAATTGTTAACAGGCTGTGCAGAAAATTCAAGTAATTAATATTTGTAAACACTAGCTTCTATTAAACAAATAATTTGATTTATACTGATGATGAAAATATTTCTATTTTATATATCCACCACTCACTCCAATGACTAGAATTATATGATATACCTCTGGATTAAAGTAATTGTCTCATAAATGATTGTAAAACATTTAAACATGTAGTTAAAATTATCACCATTAGAGTAGAATTAACAAAAGGAAGTCTGGAACTTCGCCAAAATATACATCTATAAGTTCTTAGAATCAACAGAGTGAAAGCCATCGATGACAAAAGTGACATGGTTCCCATTGTATCACATCTCTTTGAAAGTGAAACTTATATACCCGGGAGATTTCAGGGCAATAGGATAATAGATACTGTTGATATAACCACTTACCTCAACGTTTAGTTGGTTTTGTAACTAGAAATAATGCAGATAGGGAATAATAACTACAGCAGTTAATAATTAGGTACTGGGATCAGCTGATCGTACGCAGCTATATTAATCGGAGTACTGGTCAAAAGTAGGCCAAACATTCAGTCTAGGGCCGTCACATCGCGCCGTCCGCGGCGTGACAACCGTGCCTACAAACACTCGATGAATTCGTAAACTATATCACGCTCTTGTTTACAACGATTCCGTCATTCCCACGACATCGTTACTTATCTAAACCATCAATACGACGGCACCATCGAAATTTCGCGTGATTTATAACAAAGGCATGTCATCCTAGCACTGAAAGTTGGTTTATAAAACTAGAATTACCTCGGCGGCCCTTGGCGATTTTTACGTTTGTTGTTCATATCTCCTTCGCCCGGCTGCCCCGGCGGGTAGGCACCTTCTCGTCTGCGCGTAGGGACCGGAATTTTGGCAAATTATCACTTCTTTCTTTTACAACACAGTCCTTTCAACTTTCGCGGATGCACAAAACTGCAGTTGAAATTAGGAGTTAACACTTGAAATGCGACAACAGGGATTCATCGATTTCACTAAAGTTGTTTGACATTTGCCAACAAATATAAATTTTATTATATTTGAGTACAAAATCGCAATTTAATTTACTCTCGGGAACTAATCCCGAAAAATAAACGGGTTGGCAGATTTCTCGTGCCTGCAATCAGCGCAGGAATACAACATGGCGTTGTGACGTATTCATCAAACGAATTGCAGAAAAGTGAAAATACACTTATTTATAAAAAAATCACTACAAGCAAACTGATAAATAGATACGATATTTTAGAGGATACTTTTTATAATAATATTGTAGCCCAATAAATATAAATATTGAATAAGGTCAACGTTTGACCAACTTCCCACCGTAGACTTTCAATATGGCGGAAGGTATTTGATTGCAGTGTTGCTACTAAAATAAACATTGACATTTCGTTCAAAAAGTGTTTGTTGGTGCTTGTTAAAAAAATAATCAAGTAAATTTTTTCTCTATTTTGTGTACAATGCAAACTTAAAAATTAATAATATTTATGAAAACACATTTTTTTTTAAATATGCTATCAAAGTGAATGATTGATTTGCAATGTCATAGACTTCCGGCAAGATTGCAACATTCCAAAGAAAGTAGGCGTAAAAGCGCGCGCGCGAATTTTCATTCCATCGATAGGTTGTCGCGTTAGAAAGTTTATTATTGATCGCCCTGGGCGAGTAGGTCACGCGAGATTTGCTGAAAATGAGTTTGAAAAATGGAACTAAAATGTCTCAGCGTGAGAAATTCGAGCTCATCAATTCTGAAGTGCGTTCATTTTACGAATATTGTAAAGAGGCGGGCATGTCTGATGAAGAAATGGACATCATCTGTCGACCTCTGACAAATGCTGTGAGAAAAGCTTCTATAAAAAGATGGACAAGAGTATTTATGTTCCTTACAATGGTCTTGGCCATCGGGTACACTGTGAGCCAAACGGATACATTTCAGTGGCATGCATCCGCAGCCGCAAGGATTGTGTTAATAAAATTACTTCCTATTTGGGATTGGACCCCGTTGTATTATAACAAGTGTCTCATTGAGAGATCACAACCTCAGAACCTAGATAACAATGTAGTTTCGGCGGCTGAGTGCGTTGCTTGCGAAGCTATAAGTAAGTATATCGTCTAATCATGAGTAAATAAACATAAAATTTTAAATATCTCATAAATTCTTTAAATCAAAATTTATCTATTTCATAAAACAGAAACCGTGTATTTTGCTAATATATCGCCCGAACTTCAGTGGTTCTGTTATTGCGAATTTCTATAACAACGTCTGATGTTAATTTATATTATCTCTTTCTTCTTAGATTACCTAAATACCAACAAGGTGTTCCTTTTCAGAAAACATCGTTCGTGTTTCTGACGCCAATTACAACATAGTTTTTAACCACCACCTACTGCGTGGTGCACCTGTCATTGTTGTGGACGCCCATTATGACTGGTCGATGTCACGTACAAACCTCAATTTGACGGGACTCATCACCAACGATGACAGACTGCGCGATTCTGTACCCTGTCGAGTGCTCACCAATATACGGTTAGGGCGCCAGCCAATGGACTTAGAGGAAATCGTATCTAGAATAACTAATACAGAAATTCCAAGTTGGTTCGTCCACTTCCAAAACTGCGATATTCGAGCAGTGAAATCTTTCAGGATCCTTGCTCCTAGACCTTACTTCCTGTCTCCCCATATACCTCCTTCCCATTTTAATTGGTTACTTTTATCTAAGAATTATGACACCCATCGATACAAGTACCTAGAACTCGATGTTGGTTTGATTATAATGTCTCAGCTCAAAGGGAAGACTCAGGTTCAGTTAAAACCTAGGGCGCCTTGCGAGGAAGATTGCTTCACACTTCACTTTGAAGTTAATGAAGGGGAATCTTTGGTCCTTGCTAATTCGCTGTGGGAGTTCGAGTATTTGCCAGGAAAAGGGGATAATGTAGCCATGCTGACGGAAACCGATTGGGTAGAGTCATAATGATAATTTATTACTAGGTTAAAGTGAATGTAGATGTGTTGTTGTCATGTTTGGTCCATGTTAGTGGAAAACGCGATCGTAATGGATAAAAAACCTATCTATGATAAAAATGAGAATTTTCTATTGATTTAAAAGAAAGCCATTTTGTAAACATACATAACAACTGTAAAACCCAAACAATATGCATGAATTTAATAATGCTATGTAGTCGATTCGCATTATCGAGTGCGCCATCAGCACTAAGGAATTAATTGAATTATATATATCAAGAGTACCTACTTTTTTAAAACAGGCAATGTTTGTTATGGTGGGACCGTCAGGATAACTTAATATGTGTTGTGCAACTAAAGAATATCAATTCTTCTTTAATTCCTGTCAGTTTTTCCACTTTTGATAGGATGCATAAGACGTTAGCGCTTATTATATTTGTCCTTAAAAGTCTACCGTTTTTAATATATACATAAATATGAGCAAATTGTGTAACTAGCTACAATTACTTAATACTAGCGCAGCAATAAATTGTAAAATAAAAGCACAGGACTTTTTAATAAGCGCTTTCATGTCATTTTACAATGGTGCTACCTTTGAATGGAGTAAGGCGCCATATAAGACCCATTTATGGTTTGATTTATAAAACGCTGTATGTATTTACTTATGTTACAATACAAGGCACAGTGGCGGATTTACGCGTAGGTTGTATGAGCCCATGGCGACAAATTAAAAAAAAAATAATATCCTTCTGGGCGGCAAAAGTGCAAATCCGCCACTGGTTCAGTAAAATCAAATAGTCTTCATTACAAAAAAACAAAATACCTTACAATGTTATTGAAGAAATAGATAATGTTTGGTAGGTTTATAATTATTTCAATCGTCACTCGTATGTTGTTAAAAGAAAATTATAAAAGCAATGGTAGAATTCATCTCACCAAAGAAGTCTCGCAGACGCGGCGCTGCATTCAAACGTCTGGGTGTTGCTACTTCTAATTTACGAGGCCCCAAAAATTTAAAGAATTGACTTTTGAATACATTAAAATACAAATAGTGACGTTGTACTAATATTTGACGTAATCTGCGCAACACACTTTTGCGCACAATATTTTGAACAGTATGAGTAGAAATAAATAAAAATATTCAGTTTTAATCATATAACGTGGTCGCCAATTGGGTTTATTCCATAAATATTTGTTGCTACATATTTACTTTACTATAGTGATCAGGCTCAGTTTCGCAATCACTAGCTGTAGATTTTATTCTGGGGTTACTCGGATTGTTATATTTTAATATGTATAAATATAACCGTAATTTTTTCAAAATAAATAACAACATGCACTCTCGTTCAACACAAATACTAGATGTAAACTAAATAACACACAGCTAGAGACTCGAAATAGACAACATGGCACAAATTGCCGCGGGATTTCTTTCGTGAGACAGATTTTAACGGCCTGTAATGGTAAAAAAAAATCAATATTATACATATACTAATAGCCTAAATTAAACTATATGAAGATAGGTATGGATTAAAAATTTAACGAGTTTTAAAGTTATATTAAACTCTATATTTGCAATATGCAGTTGACCAAAGGACGTTAACACAGTGGTAAAAAAAAATCTATTGTAGCTAGACTTAAAATTTTGTTGACACATATCAATGCATCAAAATTGTGCGAAAGGGTTAGAATATTTTTCTGTCTATCCGCTATTTTTAATTTATACTCTGACAATTCGAATAAATGACCGAAACAGACACTTAATGCGTTCTATTTTACACCTTATAATTATTAGAATTTTGTTTAAGTTTTGTTTTTAAAACAAAACTTAAACAAAAAAAAAAACAAAAATCGGTTCGGAGGGACTGTTAAAATATTCAAACACTTTTGCGATTAACATTCTCCTGTATTACTATTAATGTTAAGGTTTAAAGTTAAATACACGACGCTAATGGTAAATCTGCACAATGATATCATAATGTTATTGTAACGAATATGAATTTTGATTGTGGTTAAGTACCTCAGTATTGAATATTACATTATAATCTGAAGCATTCTTGAAGTTTTAACACACCTTATATTATATTTCCATTCCTTCTCTTTCTTCATTAGAACCTTCCTTTTAAGAACCTTCTGTTAAATATTTAAAGTAAATAAATAATAAATATTAGATAACATCCTATTAATTTCCCCACTGCTGGAGCTCAGGGGTACCGCCTAACTCTTTAGCTATGATTCTAGCCATAGGATACGACATTTTATCAATATTATGGCGATATTTCGTTTCATTACTGCTTTGAAATCTACTTTAGTAACGATAAAGGATGATTATCCATCAAAAGACATGTCAAAGTAGTAAAATGAAACGAAATATTGTCATAATATCAATAAGATGTAGTATCTATGTCTAGATTCAGGGATAGAGAGTTGGGCCGAAATTAAATCAAATCGAATAGTGAAAATGGGTTATTCATGATGACCCACCATGCGGGCTCATTGCAGATTGATGAGTGTTGTTGATGTTGTCTAATATTTATTTATTTATATAGTTCAGGTCCCATATTACGTATAAGTATCTATAGCTAAAGTATTATGGATATCTGAAAGAACGAAGGTAAGACGCCTAGACCTTAGACAATAAGGAAAGATCTATTTTCTATATTGATCCAAGTGGAAATCGGACCTCAGAGGCGGCGACACCTCGAAACTGCCATACGAGTCACTCGACTACATAGAATTCTTTCAAATGTGGCTATAGGGATGACGACTAATTTTTGTTTTTTGTCCGTCAGGTAGTGTTAAAAAATATTAAACACGTATTTTTTTATTTTTTCGTAATCATAAAATTATGGCGTTACGTGGAGTTGAAATTTCGCATGACGTCACGTTATGGTACGTTGTCTACTAAACTGTGACGTAGCGAACCCCCACTCCTCAACTTTAATACCTATTATCTAAGCTTTTCCTTGTTAAATTGAAGTAAAAAAATACGTATCTAATATTTTTCTATTATCTGACTGACGGACTACATAGAATTGGATTTTTTTACCCAGTCGTCATCCCTATAAACAGGCGATAGCAATGACACAGCTTTTAATGAAGAGCTGGAACAAATTATCAACAAGTATTCACAGCTCTCATTGACTTGACTCTATAGCACAAAAAAGTAATGTGTTTCCCCGTAATAAATACCATAACGACTTAACAGTGACAGAGGGCAAATTAAGAAATTTCTTTCTCAATTTATCAATACCTACTTGTGGCATCACAAAAGTATCAATCTAGAAAACTATTCTTCAAAAAATTATGGTCTTGTTTTTTATATTCATTCTGGTTTTATTTATTACTAGTAACTCCGGTGAATTTTGTTCCGCCCAAGAAATTTGAATATAAACTTTTTGGTTCGTCAATGAATAAGCTTTATATAGGATTTAGCGATAATTTAAAATAAACTATAGATACAATACAGGCAACATTACATGAACTGTCAGTAGCGTTTTATTATGACAAATCACTCTTATCACTAATTTTTGGAGTCTTTTAAATTATTATAATTGTTGATATTTTTTTTTTTATTTTCAAATAAAAAATACAACCATCATAAAAAAACGGAGATATAAAGGTGTAACTAACACCACTTTTTATATATACATAAATTTAAACATTTTGAGCAATGCTTATAACAGCACGTCAGGTTACTACAATATGTCAAAGACTGAATTTTGACCTAAAAATTTACTAACGCCTCTTAATGATGTGTGTAATATATCTCAAAATGTAGCTTATTTGTTACATATTTCGGTAGTTGATTTCAAGTCTATATCTAATGGATTAAGGTTTAAAATGAAAGGAGAAATTTAACAGATTTTATTAGCTTGATGTCAACATCTGTTGAGTATTCACTTGTGATGTACTGCTTTCAGATTAAGACAAAATATGAAAATCTCCGGAATCGATATCGAACTTTGCTTTCAGCGCTATAAGGTTTTTTTTATTGTTCACATTCTCAAAAAGTCTGTTTCATTTTAAATATTATACTTGTAAATATGATTAACCCTTAAAAGACAATAATATAAATTAAATATGAAGAAGAACCCAGTTTCGCGACATATGGAAAACTGATCTTAACCGATGAATCTGAGGATCTCTTTAATCAAAGTCATTTAGGAATCAAAGAAGAAAATTCGATATATAAAATAAACATTAGACTTCTCCATGATGGTTGATTAAAAGAGGTTCTGCCTTTTCATATATACTTCATCAGAAATTAGTAAGTTCACATAGCACGTTTCTGCAGTTGGTTTTAATTACTTGGAATAATTTGACAGTTTTGTACAACCTTACGTGCTATAGACTGTTCATAATAGATACAAATATCATACCTACTATCAGCGAAAGTGATTATAATTGACAGTTATAACAAGAACCGAAACGGCAGCACCCATTATGGAGCATCATGTGATACCACTTTTCAATAAATTAAACGTCAACGTTTTTGTTGCGAGAGCAAACTATGCCAGTAGTGACGTTTATTGAAATGTGACGTCATGGCACGAAAAACGTCATGAATAAATGTGTTTCCTTACTAAAAGTACACTTATTGGATAAAAAAAAATATGATAGTGATTGCATATATGATATATGAAAGTTATGAAATACTTTTCTAAAACTGTCAACTAGCCAATTAGCTAGCGAACTTAACTTCACGATGATACTAAAACTGATAAAAAAACAAATCCTTATTATTTATAAATTTATTCATATATTGTATATATTAATCAGTTTTGTCTTTATGCACTGGCTTGCCTCGGAACCACAGCAGCAAGTTCTTAAGGGACAGCACAACAGGGAACATGATCGGTAGGAATAATGGGATGTATATAGCGTACCTGAAATTAAAAAGGCGAGTTATTAGCCAAATGTTAAATATTAAAAAAAAACTATGCTACCCTACAAACTCAATAAAAGTGTTGCCATTATTTTATTTCAATGGGTTTAAGGAATCAAAGTATAATACAAAGGAAATGGTATCAGGCCACCCCTGATTTAGTTTTATATAAATATAGGAAGATTCTCAAAACCAATCTGTGTGGTATAACATTTTCGAGTTATTCATATGTAAAGTATTTTTTATTATTAGCTCCATGACATTTCTTTTCGGTGCCTTCACTTCACTTTGCTTTACTTGAAGACAGTCACTATTTATATAAAGATGTAATTAGGTAAGATATATTACCCAAAACTCAGCGTAGATGGCAGCACGCACAAACTCGAAAAATTTTTTTCTTTTGGAATTGAATGATTCCCTTCCTTCTTAGTTTCTTACATCCAAATATGAAGCAATAATGTATTATTGGATAAAATTACGCCCTTTCTATTTATCAATAAAAAAAAGTAAATGCCAACTATACCCACTATTACTTTACTCTTTGTTTACTAATCTGTGAATGATGTTTGACATTTATAAAAAATTGTTTACAACTTGGGGTAGTGCTGCAATCTGGCGACATAAAGGTGACTTTTTTTTAGTAACGCATCCTATTTCATTTGATTTACTTACTTCTGATCGTCTGGGAAGTACAACAGAGCTAGCAGACTGGGATCCATGAAGGCAGTTTCAGCGGCTAGATAAGCTCGCTTCGATGTTTCATACGCAGCTATTATATCACCTTCAGCGGCCAACACGCTCGCCTTCTGAATATTTTCCACTGCTGAATTGATGGAAGCACCCACTTCGTCATTGATAACGATGTTTGAGATTTCACCTGAAAAAAATACACTAAATAACAGACTAATAAATAGGCCACCTAAATGTCTTTTTTTAACAGCAACTAGTTGACCCATAAAAAATAAAATGTAGAAATAAATAATTAAGAACAAACAATCCTATCTTTTACGTTAGACCAAATAACAGATATATTTTGAAATTTGATTCAAATCATTCAAATATAGTTTGTCAACGGCAAGTGACACGATATTTTTATATTTATAAAATAAGTTACACTTAAATAAAATATTTCAATAATTTATTCAGATAAAGTTTTCTATATAGGTAGGAAACCAGCGGCTCTACTGCGTGACTCGACTCTTGGTTGATGGTAAATATGAAGCCTTAAATGCAGTCAAGCTGCCAGTTAATATGTCTACCTGACAGCGCTATATTTGTACTTGTACAAAACCAGAATATTCAGCTCAATGAACTAAACATCTATGCTAACATTATGAAAGTAACTCTGCAAGCGTGTCTATTACGTTTTTACATCTGAACTACTGAACCAATTTTTATTAAATTTGGTGCACATATAGACCATATCTTGGGAAAGAACATAAGATTGTTTTTATCGCGGTAAATAGGCCACAAATACCACGCGTGCGAAGGTTACTATATAGTAAAAAAAATAAATAAACACAAATTGCAGCAATGGATAAGCGCAAGTGATATAATACTGTATTAAAATCAACGTTACCCAGTAATTGTGCGAGCGACTGTAACGTTCTCTGCGCGGTGGTGATTTGTTCTAGTGTGCGGAGACGCAACAACGCGTCTAGCTCCCATCGCCGCGGTGACACAGAACGGAGTGGCTCAAGAAATGCGCCCGAAATAAAAGCCTGGTACAATGACAAGGGGTCGTCCATAAATTACGTCACACAAAGTTCATGATTTTTAAATCCCCTCCCCCCTCTCGCCTGTTTGTCTATACAAATTCTACTAAATATTGTTCTAACTATGACGTGTGCCTGTAACGTGTGACGAAATTTATGGATGGCACTCAATAGGGTATATACTCTAATCTGTTTGAAATAGATCTGTCTATAAAATAAAAATATACAAATAAGTTAAAAACACCACCATCTAGGAATTTTTTTCACTACCATAATTTCGCAGAAAGATGCACAAACAGAATCGTTCCTTGATATTCATATGTATTTTTAAACATATGATGTTGGTAATTGTATATGTCACAGTTGTAACATAACCGATTCATTGATTTATTTTTGTTATGCTAAACTAAATTATGCGAACTTATATTTTTTCAAAATGAAGTATATGTGTCAAAATAAAAACCTGTAATCTTAATAGCCATGCCATTACATTCGAACATACAACCATTCGGCCTATCGATAATTATGCTTAATAATTTCATGTCGTATGAGTATAGATCGAAAGAAGATTATGCCAAATAAGTTTTGGAGCATCGACATTCTACCAAATAAACTATTGATTCAATAAGGTACTCCCATTATTGATTATAAAATTTGATAAAACTAGTTATCTGACTTTGGGCATCTACATTTGAGCAAATGGGAAAACTTTCTAAAATCTATATAATATGAAATTATTCTGAATCTTATACCTCACAAACGTCCATTAAAATTTACATTACAAATTTGACATTCATTAGAGCTTAAAGGCGTAATTAAACGTTAATGGACGTTTGTGCAACTGACCGAATAGATAGTCACGCCTGAGGGGCCTACATTTTGCGAGTTCTCAATTGCTAATTGATTGCGAAAGGTCGTGGGTTTGAGTCCCATCTCAGATTAGAAATACTATCGTAAATTATTTCTAAGATTTTTATACCCAAAAATTGGTTTATCTTAGGACTTCTTTTTGGCAACGCAGGGGAAATACACCTTAAGCCTTAAACCAGGGCTCTCTAACCACCCCACCCTGAAAAGGACTGGTTAACCTGCAGGCCTACCCGGTAAAAACCGCTGTGGTTCACCTCGCGCGGATAAGAAGAGGAGGGCCCGCTAAAGGTTCATCTTAGGCCTAATTAATATATTTTATACAAGAATTCTTACAGTGTCAGGGATGCCGAGTAACGGCCTGAGTTGGGCGAGGAATGTTCCCATGATGAGACGCGTGTTAGGATGCCACACGGCCTGTGGAGTACAGTCCACCTCCTCAGGGCTGGCGAGTACCACTCCACCCCACTTTGGGGACATGAACGCTTGCACCGGGGCCAATACTGGTTTAGCTGTAAATATTAAGCTTTGCTGGCAATTCTGTTGACGTGAACTAGACTTAAAGTTTTACTTCCAACAAATTAGGCAATCAGTAAACTTGTCATATTATGGCTCAGTTACACTGGTCGATGATATATGCGTGCGGCGTGCGGGCGATTTCTGTTCGTCGCTTTCATTGGTAGTTTCAAAGTAGTAAAATTAAATTAAATATCTATATAACACCGCTAGGATGTCGTATCCTAAGATTAGAATCATGGTTAGAGACTTAGGCGCTGCACCACAGGATATTAAAGTGAAAGTAATGGGCGTGTTTACCGTTTACACAAGGGTGGGGTAGTAAAGATACTAGATAAATTATATGAATTTTCAAATGCTTTTTGATTATAGCCTTATCTCAATGAAAACATTAATTCTGGCATATACTAGTAATGGAGCTCAATGGCGTAGCGGTTAGCGCGTTCGGCTTTTTTATTATTTATCTCGAGCTCCTCTGTGCTTCGGAAGGTACATCAAATAGTTGGTTACGCCTGTACCAGCAGTCGTAAACACCCACCAATTCGCACTGGCCCCACATGGTGGGTCATAGACTCTTCTCCCTATTCGATTTGTTTCGATTCCATCCATAGGGAAGCCTAAGCCTGAGCCTAGGCTTGTTAATTTTTTTTATTGAATTATGTTAAATCCCGCTGTTTCCTCGCGACTTCACACGCGTAAATGATGTAGCTACCTGCAAGTTACAGAATTTTTAAAATACGGTCCAGTTGTTTTGGAGCCTATTCGACACACACAAACAAACAATAAAATCCTTCCTTTTTATAAAATTATAGTATATAGCTACTTCACATATTCAGTTTCAAGTCACGGTCGAGGGTAACACCCACGGCGAATAACATCAATCGAGAGGAACACAAACACACTGTATGTACTCACCGACGTCGTGATATATAACAAGCGGTGCCATACGGCACGGCACCAGATACATAGCCAAGTTGACGGTGGGCAGCGCGGCCACGTGCGTGGCGGCGCGCTCCTCCAGGGCGGTGAGGAGGCGGTGCAGTCTGTCGCGACGCACAGAGTAATGGCGGCCACTATCGCTGTTATCTTTCATCTATGCACAAAAGTGATGATGACCAATTTTTGTTTGTTTGTTTGAGCGTCAGGTAAATTATTGAGGAATATTAAACTATATTTTTAGCGTAAAAAATTAATTGCGGCGTGACGTCACGCTTTTGTACATTGTCAACAATACTGTGACGTAGCGAGCCTCCACTCCTCAACTTTCATATCTAAGCCATTTCTTGTTCAAATTGAAGCAAAAAAAAATATGTATACGTATATAATATATTTTTATTTATTTTCTTATCTACGCTCACTACACTACCGAACAGAAATGTTTGATAAATTGTAATTATAAGTATTATGATTGTCAGCAGTTTACATTTTTTTCTGGAAAATTTATAAAGATGTAAAGTTTCTGTTTGTTTGTAAGGGTATTCTTCGGAAATATTAATCCGATCATGAAAATTCTCTCACGAATTTTGATGAAAGCTACATCACATACACATGTCACCACAAACGAAATGTTGTGCCACATTTCGGAATTTCATTAGATGGTTTTCGCCCTAACTGCACATAATAATGAATATAGAACATACTAGGGAATGATATCTCGCGAGATTGGACTCGAGCGAGATCTCGCGAGTTTATTAATATCAATACCGCGAGATCTCGCCAATTACGAGATCTCGGGAGATTGACACTTTTGTGTATTTACTGTTTTACCGTAATATTTATTCAAATCACAATATTTGAATAAATTAGGAAAAAATACAGGAATTACACGTATTATGGAATGAAGATTTATACGGGTATTTTGAATAAAGTTTTACGTATTTATTATTGTTTGACGCAATTCTATTTTTTTATCTAAAACTTTTAAAAGAGCAATTACTGTATTATAATCTCGTAAACGGTTCCAACAATTTTCATAACATTAAGTATGCAGGGGCTTTCAGAGGCGATAAATCGATTTAGTTAGGTTTAATTTTTTATTTGAAATAAGCAGTCTACTTTGCTAATGTCAAAGAAAAGTTTAATTATAATATATAGTTTTTTATAACAAAAATACAAAATCTAAAATTTTACTAATTAACTAAGTTGAATTGACTATGAAACTGAGATTATTATCAATGAAAGAAAACTATGTGTACCCAGAGATCTGTTAGAAATTAGAGAATAAATTAACAAAATATACCAATCAATTTAAAGGCTCATTATTACGAACAATTTTGAAAGTAGTTTCTTAAGAAACACAAAATGTTCAAAGAATCTCTGCTGTTCGTCTTATTATCGTACTAGCATAAATTCACGCTGCCGCACTTAGAATAAATCGTTTTTGTGCTCGAGTGTAATCTCGTTAAACTCGCGAGATCTCGGCCATTTTTCGACCGAGAGAACGAGATTGCATTCCCTAGAACATACCTCTCTGGCTTGAAAATCGAAATTCAGCAAGTAGAGCCACTGCGACTTCAGCGTGAAGTTGTGTAGAATACTCAACTCGTCCACAAATGAACCGATGTAATCTGATAAACAGATATTAAAAAATAATCTCAAACATGTCGCACTGTGGGTATGAAACTGACTCAGTTGCATATTTTAAAGAATTTAATTTTCTTACTTAATCTTTTTCATTGAACATTTGAAGTCAGCAGTTTTATGCTCACTGTACTATGTGAGTCTCATACAGTTTAAAAAAATCGAGTCTTCAAAACTAAATAAGATATGAATAGGCTTTAAATTTTGGTTTAAGTTGGTACCTGTATCAGTTCAAAGAAGTCATTTTCTTTAAATTGCTTACTACCTAACTGATTGCAGTTTTTGAAATCTAATAAAATATACAAATAAATCAATAAAATATATAGCAATATTATTCGCTTAATTGTTTTAAAAACTTTCATTGATTAATCGGGTAGCTAAACTATATAACTATATAAGACCCAAATATTTTTTTCAATATTTGGCATTGACTTTGTCTCACACCCAAAATGCGTTATTTCAACGTAAGATCACGCTTTGATGGTGAAAAAGGGTATGTGTGTATCTTGTGGACCTGTACGATTAGGCTATGTGTGTACCCTGTGGACCTGCCGATTGAAATGGACTATAGACTATCTTACAGTTTTGGATAACCTGATATGCTGTTGCCATAGAATGGATTGCATATAAATTTATATGAAGATCAAAAATTCTAAATTCAAATAAGCTTATAATAAGTACTTTTGAATTGTCCAATTAAATGAAAAACGTCATTCATAATAAGCTCCTCTAAAGGGTGAATTTCTCAGATTGAGAAGTCCTATGGTCTGTGGCATTAGTATATTGCAGTTGCACTTACCTTCGACAGCTTCTTTAGCGTCAAAATTAACCTTGAGCTTGTCTGGTGTGGGATGAACCACGGACAGTACCACGTGGTACCCGGCGGAGGGGGGGAGACGCGTGCGGCGAGCACTATCCGCCGCATTGTCAGCACGACCACCGTCCAGTACAGACATCTGATATACCCACTTTTGTAACGCTTCCACTACTATTGGCGCATCTGAATAACACAATTATTTGTTTACATAAACTAAGATATTTAAATTGGTCCAACATTTATTGATTTTTTTTTATTTGTATAGAAAAATACATAATTTTACCAGTAAAAAGAAGATATTTTTTTTTAATTAAATAAGAAATTTAAATATAATAAAGTATTTTAATAGGATCATCAACAATTATTGTAACAGTAACAGAATGAAGTTAGCTACAGAACAATCTTAACCCTAGAGTAGTCGCGCATTGCTATGAAACGTGAGTGATCGCGTGGGGAGCATTTTGCCGCCCATTTTCAATAATTTTTTTTTGTTATATTGTAGTTTAACAAATTTACAATAATTTTAAAAGGACAGAATAAAACATAAACTTTCAGAAAGTAACATTTATTAAAGTTTTGTGCTTAATATTTATGATATATTTATGCTTAGTTTGACCAAGAAACTTGTCTTCTACCAGCCAATCGAACAAGCCGGATTTAGGAGCGGGTACAGTACTATGGACCACATACTGACACTGAGGATAGTCATAGAAAAAGCCACAGAATACCAGATGCCCCTGTGGCTTGCATTCATAGACTACAAAAAAGCATTCGACAGTATTGAATCCTGGGCAGTAATTCAGTCTATGCAAAATGCTCGAATAGATCACCGCTACATTAACCTAGTAAGTAACATTTACCGGAACGGCACCTTAAAGATAAAATTACCTCCGGAAACCAAACCAGTAGCGATAAGAAGAGGCGTTAGACAGGGAGATACCATCTCTCCAAAATTGTTCACGCTGGTATTGGAGGCTATCTTCAAAATGTTGCACTGGGAAAAATGCGGTATCAACATAGAGGGTAAAAGACTGAGCAACCTTAGATTCGCTGATGACATCGTGCTATTCTCTGACAACCCGACAGACCTCGAAGCTATGATACAGGAACTCAACAGTGCCTCTGTGCGGTGTGGGTTGGAGATGAATCTTGAAAAAACCAAGGTCATGACAAACTGCTCCAGCACAACCATTAACATCAAGGTAAATGACACCGTAATTGAGAGAGTTACAAAGTATGTGTATCTGGGACAAGAGGTCGTAATGGGAAAAGACAACCAGGCAAATGAAATTGATAGGCGTATAAGATTAGCGTGGGCAGCCTACTCCAGAGCTTGAGTTCGCCTTCCGTATGAATATTACTGCAGAACAGAAGGCTCGCATACACGACCAATGTATACTACCGGTGCTCACATACGGAGCCGAGACTTGGGTGTTCACCGAGAAGATTCTCCAAAAACTCCAAGTAGCCCAAAGAGCGATAGAGAGGAAGCTGGTAGGTGTTACGCTGAGAGATCGTAAAAGAAACCAGTGGCTCAGACAACAGAGCAAAGTCACTGACGTCATACAGCGTGTTGCGAATCTTAAGTGGCAGTGGGCGGGTCACGTTGCACGCAAACAGGGATCGTGGTGTAAGGCCGTGATAGAATGGAGACCGTGGGGTGAAAAACGCCCACAAGGAAGACCTCAGATGCGTTGGTATGATGATATCAAACAAACAGCTGGCACGAAGTGGATGGAAACTGCCCAAGACCGAAAGAGATGGCAGAAACTAAAGGAGGCCTACACCCTTGCGGTTGAGAATGGCTAGAGAAGAAGAAGAAGAGAAGATTTATGAAAAAAAATGCTTTGGGATATCTTAGGATATTTTTTAGGTATTTTAACAACGTCTTTACCTTAACCTACATTAAAAGATTAAAAAATAAGATTTATTAACAAATTTAAACGTTTTCAATATCTACGATATGTACTTTAGCAAAACAGTCCTGACACATGAACATACAATGTTCGTTGCACAGTAACTTTTCACATCTATTGCACCCTTTTTTGGTCCTTCAATTTTTTTTGGACGGACATACTGCACATATTCCTTCTCTATTTGAGGGTATATTTTGTTATTCTGGTGGCACAAAACGGGCAATTTGGTTTCTCAGCTGTTTCTGCAAAGTATTTACTTTGGATCTTCTAATTATATGTGGTCTAGTCAAAGCCAGATCTATTTCTTTCAAAAAAATTCGTCGTAACATAAGGTGGTCTGTATTCTCTTTGTATATAATTATAAATAGTCAAATTATATAGAAAGGCAATATAAATAGTCAAATTATATAGAAAGAAATAAGTATAGAGAATAGTCAAATTATATATAGAGAGAAAAATAATCTCATTGGCCATCTGCGAGTCATCCTACCCACAGAATATTCTTCTTTCATTTGATCGACTACATCAACTCCACCTTTAGTTCCATTATAATATGTTATGATTTCTGGTTTTTCAGCAGCTCCGGTAGTTTCATCGATCTTGTTATCATCGTGTAAAGTTGATAATAGCAGAACCACTTTTTTTTGCTGCTTGTCTGGTACATAGGATATGAGAACCTTCTTCTCACTAAATCCGAACAATGTTCTTGGCTTCTAATTATAAATCTAATTATTATTAAACATCTAATTATATCAAGGCAATCTATCATTTATTTAACTTTAACACGAGTTTACTAAACAAAAATAAGATTTATTACAATAAATCACCCAAAATGAATAAAAGCATTGAATCACTATGAAATTTACATAAAACAATATTGAAATCTAATAATATTTCAAATATATTAAAAACCAGTCGCACGAATTTTACTTACGTTAGTAGTCGCGCAGTAAGCAATTCGCCGCCAAACGTGACACACTGACAATAACCGCTTCCTCCTGCGGTAACCAAGGCACTGAATTTCTTAGAATTTCTAAAACAAGGAGCTAAGGTACGGGGGGGCAGCTACAGGGACGTTTGACCTTGACAATTGCATCGTGTAGAAACTAAGACGATTGTTTCGACGCGGACGGCAAAATGCTCATAGCGCGAGCACTCTAGGGTTAATTACATACAGAACAACGATGTGACAGAAATCAGGGTAAAACACGATAATCACGGTTCTCATTTCAAAAGGATAATTTGGTGAACCTCTTTATATCAACACGCTTTATTTCATATGTTGTAATGAAAACTGTACCTTCAGAGTCTCTAAAGAACATGACCCTTTCACCAGCGAGCCAAACTTGCTGGAATAGAGGACGCCTCTGCACCACGTAGAAGCAGTTATGGGCAGTCAGATTGTAAGCCGCTGCCACCTCGTCAACTGCGTCGTGTTCATCTGCTACTGACTCCAAAGCATGGTGGAGTTCATCCGACAGGACTGCCTTGTGTATTTTAGGCTTTATTGTGTCTGCAAAAGGTTGCAAATTGTTTGAATAAGTGATATGTTCAGACAGCGTCAGCGCTATGCCTCCTGCTTATGCGTTTAATTTTTGGTTACCCAGGTCATAAAATTGAAATACAATTTCTTTCTGACTAAATTGTGTGGTCTGGGTAGGTAAGTACCATATTGAAACACTTTTACTTAGATTATATATTGGAGTTTATGTGTATCTGTGATAGAATAGAATAGAAAGTTCTTGGTTGTTAACATTACATAATTTACATGTAAAATTTAAAACAGTTTTAAAAAATTATGTAACAATTGTAGGCCTTATCGCTTAAAGCGATTTTTTCCAGGTAACCATGGAATGGAAAAAGGTAACAATTAATGAAGACGGGAGGTATAAATGTTATCAATAAAAAGAATATATATTTTGATGATAACTAATTATAAATAGACAACAAAATATGCCTTGCGCCCTATGACAACGAATATAAACAATACTCTTACTGGAATCCTCAAAAGCCACCTCAATCAAAGCGGCTAGCTCCGAAGCGGTGGCCTCATCATTCGCCAATATTTTCAGATCTGTTGAGATGGTGCGAGGTAGCTGGTCGAACGCACTTATCTGATCGTATGGTAACGTTACCCTGAAATCATCAATATGAAAAATGTGAAATTATGAATTTTGGAAAACTACGCTATTGTTTAGTAAATTCACTGCAGGAGACTCTGACTGACTGCGCCAGCAAGACAATTAGAAAGAGCTTTCCTGCCTTATTTTATTTTAGAAACAGAAGTTCAATACAAATACGACTTCATTAGACTGAATATAAGACAGTCAATAGGATATGTCAGGTTATATAAAATTCCCTGGTTTTCTGCTCTCACACCCTTCTTTTCAGAAGAGAGCTGTTGAGCGGGAACAGCGAGGTGGTCAAGGTCGCAAGAGGGGGGGTACCCTATGGAATCCTGAAGTGGGATTGGATCCGGCGGACTCCTTGATGTAGCCCGGATCCTCCTCCCCATATAGAGGGAAGGAAAACAAAAAAGGGTTATATAAAATTATAAAAAAAATCCGTTTTACCTTAAATCTTAATATAAAGGGTAAAGTTAAATATTAATTGCAGAAATTTGTAATCTTGTGTGTACCTGACGGGTTGTTATTCAGTTTACATATTAAGACACTATATTTACACATAATAGGAATTTGATTAGAGAAATTAAGCTTGTACTTCAATGTAGCAAGTTGAATGGTTAAAGTATTATGGATCTTAATTGGCTGTATTATTCATATCAATCAGTTATATTTTAACGGTTAATGCGTATAGCATTTGGATTAGTTTTATCAAATAATTATACTGTCTGAACGGTTAACCAGTTCTCAATAAACCGATCGTTAATTTAAAGCAGACTATTTCCACATGCAATATTTGTTATCGAGCTTAACAAAACAAAAAAGAACATCACTGTAGTAAAAAATGAATCGCAATACCTATATCAACTTTAATAGAACACTTTACCAAAATATGTCACCATTTCAAATCATTGTTTCATTCATTCAATCACTTTCCTATTAAAAGATGTCAAGCTTACGCATTATTATAGTTAGTCTGTGATTATAGACATTGTCAGAACTATTATTTTGAATAAAAAATTTTATTATTTAATATCTTTTCAAGCTATTTTCAGTGGAAATGAACGTGTTAAATGTATAAACTAAGCGGTTATAACAGCTTAAATAAGGCAATTCCTTTGTTGTCTTGTGATTTGTGATTGACAGTTGTTTGTTTACCTATTTATCTCAAATTAGAAAAACTATATATACGGCTACACGACAGGCCACCACGATATGTCGTAATTCCATAATGGATTTTGACATCTACCCTCATGTATTAAGGTTTAAAATTGAGTGCAGAATTTGACAGGTTTGTATAACCTGAAGTGTCGTTGACATTACCTGTATACTTCTGTTGTCTTCCACCAGAGCGGCAGTCCAATGATGATGAGTACACCGACGAACGAGGCACTAGCCCACATCCTATTGGACTCTGCAATAACAAAATAAGCCAACTTGTAATTGTTTTCTTTGTTTCATCCACCAAAGATCTAAAAATTCGAGGCGTAAAGGCGAAACGGAGAAAAGGTTAAATTAGGGGAACAGCATGCTTACTCTCGAACGCAATCGACAATTCAATGTGTCGCTTCGTTCTCTTGATTGGGTACACTAGCGCCAGAATATGCAAGTGTACCAATCAAGAGTACGGAACGACATAATGAGGAAGTATTAAAAAAAGAAAGCACTAAGAAAGCACCTCACTAGATGGCGACTCTAGCAAAAGTTGATTTTTGCAGGAAACAAATGGACCAAAGATAGTCATTTCCGTTTCTTTTAACAAACACATAAAAAACTGAAATTTGCAAAGTTCGAAACTTAGATATTAATACAGATACGAAAAAATACAAATATAATATCAGTGTGTCATGCCATCTAATATATTTTCTCTTGTTTCCAGACAATTTTGGATTTTGACAGAATGGAGTAAGATTCCATCTGTAGATCCAAGACTAGAACATACTAGAATGGGTGCTAGAACTATTGCGTAAAATTGTAAGTATGAGTACCATCAGATCAAGCTTGAAAACCTATTTAGCACACTGTTCTATTTCCACGGTATTTTAATACCCGTGTCGTCACAGATCCCGTTGCACTCAATGAAAGGCAATTGCTAATTATCTATCATACATAATATACGGGTGTCATATTGAATTACAACCAATATACAAAGACCTCAGATACTAAGAAAACACTTTATGATCCGGGGTAGAATTTAGATGGTGCGCTGAACCGGTGTACGCAGAGCTCTCAGACCTTAAAAAAAAGGGTAAGAGCTATAGTCTTTTACAGATTGGTAATTGCGTATGGTACGCAATACTATGGATATCAATCGCTGAGGGTCAGGTGTTAAACACGCGCCTGAGTGATAATTGAGACCAATTTACATGTCACCGTACACACTGGATCATAAAAGCCGAAGACCAATTTGGTATTTTACTGATCACACACCAGATTTGTCAAGAATATAGTGATGAAATTAATATTTATTTCCATATATCTATGATTGGACCGAATAGCATAGTTGTATTTTCGATCTGCGACATCAGGAGTTATGCAAATACCGGTCATTGGATGGGTGACCAGAGTATTATAATCTCGCATCTTCTTTGCTTCGAAAAGCACGTTAAAGCAATGGTTAACTGTATACTGCAAACTTTAACGCATAGTAATCTGCTTTGCTATTCTGTAAGCACTGTCGTAGAACAGAATAAGAAGTTCCATCAAATAAAACCTGAAAACGCAATAAACCTTTTGAAGTAGGTTTTAATTGATTAAGAATAACATTGCATCATTGTCGCTACTCGTATAGTTCGCTATCACCCAGTTTCAGGATTGAGAATTTAAAGTTAAGCATGTCTAAAACCATACTTTAAATCTGAAACGCCACTGAAACAGGATTTCGTTTCTGATATTATTTTTCATAATGAACAGTTGATAGCGTTTTGATAAAACTGGGACTTCTGCCATGTGAAACGTAAAAAAACTTAATTTATTGAGAGATAACCAGTAGAGACATTTCTCAAATCAGAAACTGGCCGTATGACTCGTTCTTCTATTCACTTTGCTTATGCATCACCAGTAGAGACATGAAGACTGGACGTCAAGATAAATGAGTAACCGAAACGAAATCAAAACGTCCGTCAATGAGACAGACGGGGATAAAGGATGTCGCTTGCGCGTTAATAACTAATTAGAGATTTTAGGTGTACACACCGTCTTAATAAATATTATCTGTTTTCAAATGTACATTAGTAAAGAATTACTTTCAGGTGCCTCCAAATATCACATACAATATTTGGAGTTCGCTAAAACGAGTTTATAATATGGCATTAAAACCCTTTTTTACATTGAAATAAAAATATTAAAATAAATAATTATGTAGCAAATAAACATGCACGACTCTGATAAATAACATGTATGCTAGAATATCTGACGTGTACAGATTAATCTCTTTGGAAAGGTTGCTCATAGAATAGACAGAGCAGAAATACATCGTAAATTCATACAAAATACAAAGTCGTTGCCTTGATTGAGAAGAGAAATTGTGTACAGTAACCATTTGATTTCTTGTCATTAGTCGAGTAAGTAATGCCCTTTCATTTCTTGTCTTTGGTCGAATAAGTAGGGACCTTTAAGTTTACTAGTCGTTCACCAGTTTTAACTAACTTTCATAAACGGAACATACAGCTAATAAGTAAATATTCTCTAAACCAAGGCCTGCTTATATCAAAGAAATCGATATTTGTAAAGGTTATTGCACATATATTTTCTTTGACTCTACCACAATACTAGCAGTATATTGACAATCGATTCACTGTTGATTGCAAATTGAATGAACAGTGAATATATCATACATTATTAATTCATCGATAAGGGGTCGGTTAACCATCTCTAGTTTACTAAAGATTTTAAGACACCATTTATCTGATGCCAGTAGCCGAGTAAATCAAGTAAGCTAGTCCAGTAAAATTAGTAATTGTTCTATATTATTGGACTGGATTGATTACTGGTTTGAGGATTATCTCCATTTACACCAATATTGGCCTGGTTTACTGGACTGTCTCGGCTACTGACCACGTATAAATGCTCACTTCTGGACGGAGTTGAGTTGGCCTTTTCGAGCACAAAGGCGTTAACCACCAATAAAGGCGTTCAAATGCGGAAAATTGGAGACACATTCCATATGCATAAAGCTGGGAAATGAATATAATAAAGAAAATGGGACGGAATTAAGGTGAATTATGAATGTATTTTCTTTAAAAAAGTAAAACTACGACAAGAAATGGAAATGAAGTGAATTTTAGTAGAGATTTATCTTTTTCTACAAAAATACTATCAGCTACGTACGATGTAGTTTCTTAATCTAATTACTGTTTATATGGACGTCGACTTTCAACAACATCATACACAAAAAAAAATATTGAAATATGGTGTACACACCCCTTTAACCTTGTTTAACAGAGATTTCTTAAGTCTTGTTTCAAAAGTGAGGTTTTTTAACGTTGCGTTAACAAATTATTTACATGATACGTAATTCAAAACTGTAGATGTACTCATTTGCGTCACTGTGGTGACGACCTATGTTGTTTGTTTAAAATGATTTTGAATGAAAAAAATATGAAAAAAGGAAATTAGTAAATTAAAAACCAGCTAATCAAAACTAAAAAAATAACATAAGTTTCGTCACTTACTCCTATTTCTATTTACCTTTTATATAAATATTAAAAGTCTTGCATAGAATGAGGAAGTATTTAAAAAAAAAAGCACTAAGAAAGCTCCTCACTAGATGGCGACTCTAGCAAAAGTTGATTTTTGCAGGAAACGAATGGACCAAAGATAGTCATTTACGTTCCTTTAAACTAACATATTAAAAAACTGAATTTTGCAGAGTTAGATATCAATACAAATACGAAAAAGTACAAATAGAATATGAGTTGTTTATTGAGTTTTGAAAATTAATTTACACATTATACATGAAAGAAAACCGGAAGGGATTTCAAGACATCTAGTTTGATTTCGAGAACGAATGTTTTTTTTTTAAATACTTCCTTACCATTTTACTGCGATTTTAGCCGATACAACAATTTATTTAATGTGATATAACTACATACAGCCAGGGGACTTGAAGCTATATAGGAAATAAGGAAAGATAATTCAATAAGAAACAGAAATTCCAACAATATTTAACAGAGTACACGCAGATTATTGAAAGCTTTTTTAAATTCATATATAATATATGGGGAGTTATTTTTCTCTTTTGCTTCACCTCTAAGTAAATGCTAGGTACGCCTATGATCACGTAACTACAGTAGAGAAATTGTAACTGAGCGTTAACTTCAGCAGTTAAATTTAATAACCGGGCAAAATTAATTGAATTAGGTAATGAAGAATTTATCAAACTACACGATCTGTCATGAATACAATTCATAGATAATTTTAACAGACTAGTTTTAGTTGTAAGACAAAGATGCGCTGTCTTAATTCAATGAATAAGATGTGAACCTCATATAATATAAGTACAGCAGTCAAGGGGCATCGATCTGTTATATACGAGATCTATGAACAATTGATCACTATGAATAAATAGTATTAGTTTATACATATATTGCTCAGATCTTAAATAAGGTAGCTTTTATCACTTGTAATAGAACATTTGAAATAACGAACGAAGGTACAAGTGAAGACAATGTAGAACACGAGGGTCAAACTGAAAGTTCTTAGAAAATCAAAAACTGATTACATTAGCCAGTTATTAGTTTTATTATATCTTTTCAAAATATTGTCCATTCACGTCAATACACCGCTGCATGCGATGGAACCACTGGGAAAAGCACTTTGCCCACTCGTCCTTAGGGGTCTCTTCAATGGCATCGCGATACGCAGCCACCGCTTCTTCAGCATTCATAAACCGCTTTCCTTTAAGTTTTTCTTTAATTTTTGGAAATAAATAAAAATCACAAGACGCGAGGTCGGGGCAATACGGCGGGTGACCCAGTAATTCAACGTTTGATGTCGCCAAATAGTCGATCGTTCGCTTGGCGGTGTGCGACGAGGCGTTGTCGTGGTGAAGGAGGATCCTACTGCGAGGTCGTTTCTCTCGAACTTTTTCCAAGACAAGTGGCAAACAATTGGTAGTGTACCATTCTGCAGAAACTGTTTTTTGATCCTCTAACACAATTGTTGCAAAATGACCTATCCTTCCAAAGAACGAGGCCACCATTTTTTTTCCCGCACTTCGATCTCTCTTCACTTTAGTTGGCAACTCCTCGAAAGGAAACACCCACTGAGCAGATTGTCTTTTGGTTTTAGGATCATAACAGTAAATCCAGCTTTCGTCACCTGTTAGTATGTCGAACACAGCATTTGAGTCACCTCCGTTAAATCTTTCAATCATTTTACGACACCAATCCACACGATGGAGTTTTTGAGCCTCAGTCAAATTATGAGGTATCCACCGGGCGCAAAGCTTCCTGACCGCTAAATGTTCGTGGAGGATTTTGTG